GGGTAGTAGCTGCGTGGAATGACCTTCCTCCAGCGGTTGTTCACGATCCTTCTAGAGCCCAGTTTAAAGCTCGAATCCTCGCGCTGGCAAGCATACTGCCCCGCGCTGAGAACATAAAGAGCAGTGCTACACCCTTTTTCACTTGTGTCTTTCAGGTGAACGACAGCCACTGATCGACAAGAACAAAACCAACCCGAGAAACTTAGGCAAATGCCTCGATCCTGTGTATTGATCCGTGAATCCATGAAACTCGAAGACTGTCTTCGGGTAATCGGTGGAGGGACAAGCGACCTCCTTATGAACTACCGTTTAGTTCTCATCATTTCACAATGGCAGAAAGTGTGAGGCTATCCCTTTCTGGCGTCTCGTATCTCCCTGAACATCAGTGTTCTCAGGATTTCACATATGGACAGCGCGCGGCCTTACGCGATAGCAGAAGCTAGGCCCATAAACATATCGCCGCTGCGTTGCTAATCCGGTCGCTGCTTTGAATGTTTGCCTTCAAATAATCCTGCTTCCCCCTGGAGGGTTTTCTTGAATTTTTATGTCTCACAAGTCATCTTGAACCAAATGGAACTCCCAAAATCATCGGGGGCTTGCCCACCACCTAAAATGCTCCTTTGAAATGGTGCGTTCGAGGACTAGCTTCAAATTTCCAAGCTCACAAGCTGATGGGAGAACCCTTGGGCTTCGGTGCATTTTTCACATGAAATTACGTTCTCCACGCTCTCAGTGTTGTGGTTCTGCCGGACAAACTAGAGTGGTCATAATTTTACGCGAAAATGTACAATCATACAACATAGGCTTACTGATGTTTTTCACTCACGTCATTCCCGTAATAAATCATCACCTTGTACGTTCTGCGATCTGAATGTGCATATTGAACTCAAAGCGAACGCCCTGACTGTGGTAAATGTTCAGTTTTTCTCCGTTTATGAATTTGATCAAGCCTAATGCCCCCTAAAACTCAACAGGCCTTATTGATCTCATTTCATCCCCACTTCTTCTGGGGCCTCGGTAATACCTTTTTCAGTTGTCCTGTATAGCTGTTATCTACTCCACATGAGCTGTGCTTTACACCCGAAGGGATCCCCATCCGGACCAAAAATGCTTGCGATCTTACAGTGGCTTTGTCCTACCTCTATTGATTCCTTTGTCGACCCAAAAAAATTCCTCACACAGTTGTGCACCCCAGCCCAATCACCTCATACATGAAGTCGGTCTCGAGGTTGTCTAGGGATCGAAATATGTCCGTGCAACGATGGCACGGCACTGGCGTACTCACATTGATATTTTTCCCGCGACGATTCGCCCCCTGCTTTTTACTGTGCCCTATCAACCTGTCGTTGTCTCGCTTTAAACTACGAATTTCAGTGACTTTCATTCTGTAAGTAAGATATTTTCTGTATTTTACGTTGCGTCCTGCGGATAAGCACTAACTCCAGCTCCCAATCGACTTTTACATCCGACCCCACTCCAACAGTTACACCAGTGAGTCTCTCCATTTTCACTTAAACCGTGATTCTGAGATTCACACTACTATTTATTTGTATCGCCGATGCGCCAACTTTATTGTCCGAACTTGCACTTTTCATGCCCCCAGCCGTTTGCTCAACAGCCCAAGGCCATAAGATTTCAGCAGTTGTTTTGGCCTTCAGTTCTTGAGCAAAGTGCTGCCGCACCAGATCTGTTTTTCAGGTTCCTTGTTTTGCCCGTTTTAAAGTTTTTTTATCATTTACCTGAGAGGATGCCTTTGTTTCGTTCGCCCTTTTAACATTTTGCCCGCTAAGTTCAAATCTTAACGGTGTAACGCATTTGAAACCCGACATACCTGATTGTATGTCTATCATATGACATTATGTGTGCCTCTCCCTCCCTCTATTCCCCTACTGCAGGTACCACGGACGAGTCACCACGGGCCCTGGACGTGGAAGAGTATCCCACTTGTACACCCCCCTAACTGACCTTGACCCAACTTTGTACACCCCCGAATTCCGGTTTCGGTTTCGTTCGAATACACTTGTGTCGTTACCACGCTCCGGTGTTCTCTTCTGTCTCACCCGACCTGTGCGCATGTGTGCTGTGTATACCATTAATGCCAGTCCGTATCTCTGCACATTTCAGAACTGACGTGTGCTGTCGTTATATCCTCTCGAACATCGAATATCGCTGACTTCCTGACGTCCCACGCTACAACCGTCTGGACTTGTCTCAGCTTTACATGTTCCCCAAAAGAGATATAAACCCCAATTAATTGTGTTTTCCTGTCCATGCCGGCTCGGGCGTGACAAATTATACATTGGATGATGCTCACCGTTTATCACACTGTCTATATTTTGGGCAATCTCTAGCACTCGCAAATCCCACCATTCCTGATTTAATTCTGATTGTAAGAGTAAGATAATATCTGGCTTGTTGCAATAAACATTATTATTGTGATGTCACTGGTTATAACTTCAGGTTCCAGTGGACTCTCAATATCGCTGCGCAGTAGTAACACGGGGCTATATATGCAATCCGGCGACATGTCGTATAAGTGCCAGCACAAAACGGGGATTCAAATCACAAACTGCTACCGCTGAAAGTTGAGACTTGAGTTGCAATGGACTTTCAACAAGGACGCGTGCAGCCAAATTAAACTCATCACTTATTCTGATATTCATCAAATGTACATGTTGGTGTGTGGTTCGTTTCTGGACGGCTAGTGGGTGATAACACACATCAAGTGCACAGAACAATGCATTACTAAAAAACAGGATTGTATGAGGGTGGAGAGGCATGACAGAAATTTTGAAAACAACGAGAAGCGCGGCCCGGGATTTAAAAGGCTGGGAAACTAGAGACTGTGCTTTCCTCACTATACACCAAAGAACAGGAATATTCTGACGAAAAATTAATACATTAGAATGAAGAACGCAGGTAAAGTCCCAGTAGGACCGTTTCCATGGGGCACACAGTTTGATTACCACTCGAGTGTTTGCAATGCGATGAGATAGAACTGCCAGTTAGCTGGATGCCTGATCATTCAGCACGGCGAACCCATTAAACAACGTTCCAAACTGTGTGACTCCGGATTAGGGTCAAGCTGGTGGGTGCACCCACCTAAGTGTGGTATACAAGTGAGTGAATCTACGAGTTAACGAGATCGTTCAGTGCATTTGACATTTAAACAAATAAACACTTGATTTGGCATGTGCCTTTGGTCAGGCCTCTGATGATTCATAATGGAGGCTGAGCCCATAGAGCTTCTTCCACTCATCCCCTACAAAACCGCAGAAACATCGTATGATTCATAAGGGGGCTGAGCCCATAGAGCTTCTTCCACTCATCCCCTACAAAACCGCAGAAACATCGTTCAGAAGAGCGGCCGCATCTTCAACACGGTAAAGAGTCTTGGCTCCCTTTTCTGAGTTTGGGCGGGAATATTCTGGACAACAACATAGGGTTGTCAGATTCTACTCTCTCAACCCCTTCTGTTCAAAGTTCTAGAAGAGCTTTCGGTAGGCTACTCCGTTCCTTCTGCTTCAATGAATCTGTTGCCCATCCTCAGGCTAAAAGCAAAATTTGAATGCCATTTATAGCTAGATCCTTTGGAAATCTAACAACATTGGAGGTCCTTGATTTCCTTAAAAATGCATACGTCGTTCAAATAGCATTTTTTCCGCGTATTTCTTAAGATGTACTAGTCAGCATCACATTCTATCCAACTCTACAGCTGATGGAGGCCACACTTTCTACCTCTTTCAGCCTAGCCTTTCCTTCCTAGTCGTATGTATGCTCGTGGAACCGATTGAACTTTTGTATACCTGACATCCAGAACCTGGACCAGCAGTGAATTTTGGCGCGATTTGTGAAATCGTCCGTTCTGCCTCGAGCGTCATGTCTGATCACGAGTCCGAGGAGCTCGATGTCCTGGACGATGTGGTGGTTACAAAATATAAGATGGCAGCGGAGGTTACCAACAGTACGTGTGAATTTCAACTAATGTTGCTGTTATCGGAAGGTGTGCTTTCGGAGTTAATTAAACTATCACTACCTGGTGCAAAAATTGTTGAACTGTGCAAGTTGGGCGACCAAAGAATACAGGATGAATCTGCGAAGCTTTTCAAACGCGAAAAAACGATGAAGAAGGGTAAATCTTCTTGTTGTTTTCACTTTCCAGGTATTTCTTATCCCACATCAATCAGTGTGAATAATATCATTTGTCATTATTCGCCTATTGACGGTGAGGAAAATGAAATTGTGGAGCTGAAAGACGGTGATTTGGTGAAAATGTAAGCTCATAGGAAGCGAACTCTAATCGCCGTATTAGTGATTTAGGTGCACATATTGATGGATATGCTGCTGTTGTTGGACACACATTCGTCGTGGGATCATCATCGGTATAAAGGCTTACTACTTTGAAACCCTTCAGGATAACAAAGTTACTGGAAGGAAAGCAGATGTCATAATTGCGGCAAACACGGCTGCCGAAGTTGCCGTTCGCCTTCTGCGATCTAATTATGAGGTATCTGGTAAACATTTCCTCTGACCTAAACCATACTACCACAGAACATAAAAGTTTCCGAGATGATAACTAAAACTGCCGCCGACTTCAACTGTCGCCCTATTGAAGGTATTTTCATTACACAATCCCACCGTATGCGCAGGTATGCAATCACACCAGATGCGCCGAATGGTTTACGATGCTGAGAAGTCAATTGTTTTAAATCCATCAGAAGAACACAAGAAATCAATAGAAAAAACGAACTTCGAATTAAATGAAGTCTGGAATATCGATATATTGTTGTCGACCGGTAGTGGGAAGCCTCGTGACCACAAAGCACGCACAACTATCTACAAGAAAAACGAGACATTATATCAACTGAAAATGAAGTCATCTAGACGTAAGCTTGCTCCTAATAGTTGCACTTGTTCCAGAGCTGCACTCCGAAATTGCCAGCAAGTTTCTGGCCTATCCGTTTAATATCCGGTATGTTTCCTAATTGTCTGATTGTCCGATAGTGCCCTCGAGGATTTGAAAAAAGCCCGACTTGGAATTACAGAATGCGCCAAGCACGATGTCGTTCAGGCACTTCCAGTTTATTGCGAAAAAGACGGTAGGCTTAGTCGTTCGTTCTACAACCTTGTGTAGATGAATTCGTCGCGCAGTTTCGATTTACTGTGCTACTGATGCCGAATGGACCTATGCGGATCACAGGCTTTCCGTTTGATGCATCGCTCTATAAGTCGGAATTTAAACCGCGTGATGCAGAAGTCAAGGTATGTCTGTTAATGTCGTCTTATTTTGCTAAGGACATTCTATTACAACCGATCAAAACCCAAAACAAAAAGAAAAAGGGGGCAAAGCCATCAAGTCAATCAACCGGCGAAACCGATGACCACTGATCTGTATAGGCTTTATAATCGCAGATGTACCACCTCGAGTTTTTGTGTAATACGTTGGTGATACGAATACATGGTGTCATTTTTGTAATAAACTTTTCTGTAGCAGGAAGCGAAGATCGGAAAGCGTTCTTGTGATGAGTGCTTTTCCTGCTGTATTTAGTTTTCTGGCATTTACTGTCTTCTCTTGGGTGTACTGCTGGCCCACTGTCCATAAAACTGAGTTTGGAGATTGTGTCACGAAAATGGTACGACTGCTGCACCATTTTGTTAGTGTCGAAAATGGAGTAAAGTACGCGCTGCAGTGTTTCTGCTGTATGCTCCTAAACGACATCATGCTCGACTGCTCTCCACCTCCAGGTGCTTGACACCTGTCATTGTCTTCGTTGAGTGTATTCTTTTTATGTAACAAAGACGTTTATACTGCGACAATCCGCTGTTCATTGTGCGACGGCCGCCTAGTAGATAACTTGTGTTGAATTTCGTCACGCGGAGAGACGATTTTATCGTCGTGTGGCGTTTTATGTGCATGACCCACTGAGCTATGCTGGGTAGCGTCCGTGCTACACCCACCGAGTCTGTCATACCAGATTGGTCAATGTTTAAGCGTTTGACCAAAACACTATGGCTGCATCCCTATCTTTCTCGTTCTGTTCTAATACCCCCGCGATAGTCGGTTGATGGACGTAGTGCCTCGCCCCCAGATATTTTTGTGCACATCTCGACGCCCCCATAACCCATAATTGCATTATTTTCATAATTTTGTGAACAGCGCTCGGGAAGCAAAACGGGAAAAATTTGGGTTCGGAGCGTCATTTGTTTTTCGAGTGGAGAGATTTAGTTGAGTTATATGCGTATATTGTGAGCAAAGTGGTGGATGACCACCTCAATTGGCGCACGGTGTTGCTGCATGGTCCTCTTCTAGAAGAGACTAGATTGTTTTAAATCAAACAGGTAAGAAGTATGTACGGTTTTGGTTGAGGGGTCGCATGTGATTCCTTAAAACCGAGTGAGGAAATTCGTGCACTTGGATGTTATATAACCTTGGTATCGCGAACCAAGGCCTACTCATAGTCAGTCAGCGTCCAAATTTGAGCGTGACACACCTGGTTCAGTCGCCGACTACCAGTCAGTTAGCACCTACTGTAACAGTTTCTCAATAATTGTTCACATTTAGATGTTATGAGCGGACCCGCAGCGACCCTGGTGGATGTCGGGTTTTGTGCAGGGAAACTCACGGAGTAATAATTTGAATCCTGGTGAGCAGATGTCAATTTCTGTAGGCTGGGGCATAGCCTTATGTTTGTGAAGCATAACAATACGATGAGGGGGTAAGATTAGCCTTACAACATATACTAGGTTAACGGGCAAAGGACTGTTCGCTTGCTAGCTGCTGGCAGATCTAAGAATGTAGTGCTCACGGATCGTCCGATGTTGATAACCTAAGCACTCCCTATAGTTGAGGTACATAATGTTTTAGGTGAACCGTCTGCTTGTTGAGACGCTTGACTTGAGCCAACCTGGACGTCCAAGTAATGATTTGAGGGAGAAATATGGACCCAAAGGGAAAAGCACGGGGTGAATTTATCATGACAGTAGCAACATGGAGAACCCAACGAACCATGCGATACTAGTTCTCGTTTACTAACTGGTTGCACCACTGGCTGCTTAGTCTCTGTAAATACCGAGGGCATACCTGGATTCATGTAGGTTGTGGAATGTCAAGGTTTCAGTCCCGGGGATCGTCACTGACAAACACCTGAGGAGAACACTGTTGCTTCACCACCGTTTAAACATGCCCATTTATTCGAATAACACCTTGTAACGAGAAGCAAATGGGATCGCGGGTGGTTTTTTTTTGGGTAAGCCGACCATATAAATCGGGAGTGCGTACACCCGACATATATAGTTACGAGGTAATGGCTAAGTGGTCGACAGCTAAATAAATCAGGAAACTTAGTGGAGGGGCACTGGATGAACGAATAGTTGCAAGGCCGAAGGACGGTTTGGTCGAATTTCGGACCTCCGATACGAAATTCAGAACTGCAAAACAATGTTTGTTAAACCTTTTGGACGATCCTACCAAGAGCCCAATATTCCGACCAATTTGGCTGTAGAGTTGGTTTGATCCGAAGGAGTAAACAGTGAACGCCTGACTTCTGATGCTTCTGTACATAGCGGATGCGTTTGGAAGCGCATTGTGGGAATTGATTTTCTTCGGCAATTCTTGCGAACAACCGTAGGTTGATCCATGTATGTTTTTTGGTTCCGATTTTTATCCCGTTCTTCCTCGGAAGAAAAGCCAGTCACAGCCATTAAGTGAATGCGTTGGTCAAGTAGAAGAAGTGCCTCACTGTTTTCATGCGTTCGTTGCAGCGGGCAGTAAGACTGTCCCTAGATCGCCTCTTAACAACAGCAGGGGGTCTTCTATCCGTCGTCAAACTGCTCCCCTGGTCTTCCTGATATGTTTGAACGGAGCTGAGTTCCAACCGACGTGGCTCGCAGCATCATTTCAGCACAGAATTCCGAACACCACAACAAAGCGACGCATTTCATTTGGGATGGTTGGTAAAGAAAAATAAAGTGTCAACGGTTGGTTCTACCGCATAAAATGGCATTCCATGCACTGCCTTCGGATACTGTACGTTGAAATTTCAATTAGCTGTTTGTATAAATTCAGTATACTACCGGGTGGCAGGATGTTTTGAAGTACAAGGAAGCGTGGGTCGGGCCCACAGATGAGCTAGGCTACTAGTTTGGTGCCTGTTGTGGTTGGGCATCTGGGTATTTCCATAATTACTGACTTGGCCCCAGTCGATTGTATGGTGTCACACTAATCTTGTCGACCATGTCAAATCGCCTGATAATGCTACGGAAGCGTCGCGTTCCGCTGTCCGTCCTAACTAGCAGGCAAGTTCTCAGGACTTGGACGGAAGTGTTCTGTGCTTTGATTTGTCCCCGTTTTTAACGGATGAGGAAGTTGCACCACATAGCTGCTCTATTCAAAACGACCAGATGGTGCAGGCGCCACTAACCTACTCGGTAGACAAAGGCAGCACCCGCATCGCAACTTTGCAGATGTGTTCAGACCGGATTTGTAGTTCTCCCGGAAAGCAGTGGCATAAAGCCAGTCATTAGGAGTTACAGTGCACGTGAGATGCAGCCAACTGGAGTGTCGGATGATTTTTATCCCATACGCCAACCAACCGCATGAGTTCGCTTGCAACCCACAGGACACTAGGCGGCCCTATTCGGAATCGAATTGCGATTCTCGCATTTCACTTATCACGATCGGGCCACCGATCTAAGCTAGTCAGTGCTCTAAGTTGTCCGTTCGTCTGTCTGAAAGAAAGTCTCTGTGGTTGAATGGCTTACTGCCATCTGAAAGATGATCAGTGCAGATTAAAAGGTAAAAGTCGCCTTGATAGCAATGGGTGACCAACATGATCAACTCACATGTAATGGAAACTTCTGTGACTTCGTTGCGACTGCACCTTCGCGCGGACATCAGCTCGCCTCCAGTCTCGAAGATATTTATTATTCTTGGGTCAAACATGTCTATCACCAATTTATCTAAAGCTTCTGAATTCCTCTGAGATAAACTGTGAAGTGCCACCAAACTTACTCGGGGAAGAGTTGTCAGTTGGATGGGGTGGACCGCGAGATATACCGCAGATGATTGTGGTTATCGAGGATAAACAAAGTTTTACTTGTCTAAGAACAAGCGTGGATGGGCTGAAATATACAAGTTCAATACAAGTATATGGGGTAAGTCTAATAAAAAGCACATACAAATCATGACAAGTTTTCAAAAATTGCTGAAATAGCCGCTTGTGATCTCAACGAAGTAATGCGATGGACTTCTGCCACTTGGAGGGCAGCTTGATCGTTAGCTAAAGCTTTTAGTGCCACTGCTGAAACCCTTTGCGTTGCATCATCAACGTTCTTAAACCTACATGAGCCGTATTGTGTATTAGTCTTGAACCGAGCGTTATTGTGTCGATGCCTTATCTGTATCGTGGGATAACGTTCTAATGCTGATGGGCTGGTATACTGTAAGGATCAACAAATTTGCCAAAAGTTCTGTAGCGGGTTCCAAACTACTATAGTACTGCTTCTACAGATGTGTCAGACATATCACCGCCAGTACCAGAGGCGCCTCGTCGTGAAGGTCCATGCAGTTATATTGGAGATGGTCTTTTTCGGATTCAGCAGTCTTTCTGTTACGTTCAGGTTAGTAAAAATCTTGATAATGACAACACCGCTGGGGATATAATGTAGGTGGCGTAGAATCGGGGCTAAGTACCGGGTAGTCAACCGTTACTTGCTCTCGCGACGTTAAAACTTCAACTCTAACCAGCTAAATTTGTTACCTGAGTAGGACCTGTCTAGCTTACGGTGGCCAGTAGTGACTGTTAGTGTCAATGTGGGCGAACAGCGTGCGTTCTACTAGGATTTTTCGTCCTCCGGAACGCATTCTTCAAACCGAAAGACATTCAGAGAGACTGGGAAAAGCCGAAGAGCTAGTAATGGCTCTTTTGAGAGTAACGCTTTTAGCGACTGGGGTCTGTCGTTAGCCTCAGGTCAGGTCACTGGTGGACATGCGTCTCAAATTTCCGGTCATGTCCATGATGTGTGGTACCAGGAAACCATGTGGTGTCTATTCAGCGCATGGTACTTGCCGACGAACCACCATTTTCCTGGGCTCTCTTTAGGGATGCTGACGTACTTCGCGATGCTCGAATGACCTCAAGTAGAAGTTTGATCGGACGCCGCTTTGTAATTGGTGAGTGTATCAGACGGACGCCTTCACGGATGACAACACGCCTTGCGACTAGTCGGAAGCTGGTCAGATGTTTGGTGAAGGGTAATCGGTGTTAAATGGTTGAAGAAACAGAAGGGTGAGGATTTGAGTGTCACCACGATTACTGCATCCTAGGTGGGTTGTATAGTTAGTAAGTTGAAATCTGCTAATACCGACGAGTATGTCGATGTTCCAGAGG